GAAAGGGGGCTCAGGCCTGCGTGCAGCCGTGGGAACCTCGGCTCCTCCCCGTCCCCGCCTCGCCTGGGTAGCAGGAAACAAAGTCCGGGACTCCAGGATCATCAGGGGAGGGCCTCTGGCCATTGGGAGGCCCGGCCCCGGCCCTGATCTGCAGCGCAGTCCTGTGGGCTGGGCTGCCCGCGTGTGTGCAGTTGCAAGTCGAAATAGGGGTGTGGATGTTAAGTTAGGGCGGGAGGCCGCACTTGTGTGTTTGCATAGGTCGCGTGTGTGAGTTAGGCCCGGAAACAGTTGTGTTCGTATGGAGATGTAGCTGTGTGTCTGAGCCAGGACTAAGGCAGGATGTGTAGATGCTAGTCGTGCTGACGGCGTGAGAGGCTGGAGAGACCAGTGCTGCTGTGTCATTGTGAGTGTCCGGCTGTCCAGCTTTCCTCGTGCCTCTAGAATTGTACTGAGTTGGGCAGGAACGTGTAGTTGTGCGGAGGTAGTTAGAGCGCCTGGAATACAGTTGTGTATGGAACCTGCGTGCCAGTGTCTGGCCGCGCAGTGGCCATCTGGGAGTCCGGCAGTGGCTGTGAATCAGAGGATGGGAATGGCCTCAGCGTCTCTCTCTCTCTCAGTGACATTTCGTGTTTGCGTGGGGGTTCCCGTGTGATGGTGCTTATGCCCAGAGCCCCGGCAGTATTTGCGTGTTTCTCGGGATCCACGTGTGTGTGTGTGTGTGTGTGTGTGTGTACCTTGTGAACGTGTGTCCATGGATATGTGTGGCCTGAGTTGGGGTGTAATTCCCACAGCGCACCACTGGCTCCGGAGTTTGGCCAACCACGGTCATTTTCGGTAACTGCATTTTCCTGGGCCGGCCGGTATGACTCCAGCAATCAGCGTGTGATTTACCTGCTGCCTGTTCAGAGCGGCCGCGGGCCGGGCGGCAGGGGAACCGGGCCTACAGCATTGGGTCGGCGGGCCGGACGGAGGCCCAGCAGGCACCTTGTTCGCAGCTCCCGTCACCGCCCGATTTACTTCCCCAGAGCAGCCCCGTAGCTGGGGGAAGTGGGAGTTTTGAGAACTTGCTGACCCCGGTAGTGACCCCGCTCGGGGAGGCGGCTTCTCCCAGCGGACCCTGTGCGCCAGGAAACTCGAGGCGGTGCCACACTTGAAAGCGCAAGGTCCATTCATCAGCCGCGCCCCGGCCTCTAATTGGCCTTTTGTTCATTAGAGCCTGTTGCCCGAAGTGGGGGGGGGCGATTTGGAGGGCCCTGGGGCTGCTGGTAAGGTTACTGGGGGCCACGGGCTGGGGTCCAGGTGGGCAAAGGCGCCTGGCACTCCTCTGAGGGGGCGCCAGAGCGCGCCAAAGATCGTGCCCACGTGCAAGTGCCTGTGCTGCAGCTATCAAGCTTCGGAGGCTCAAGGCCTCGCGTCTGCCCCCAACCCCCTCCCACCTGCAGACTGAGCCCACCTCTTTCCTCCGCACCCTGGGGGTCTCAGACCTGTTCCCCTGCCTCCCCTGCGTTCCCCGCCCAGGGGCTGGCCTGGGAGCTGGGTTGGGCTTATGTCCTGCGTTTCTTTGTGCTTTGAGTTCATCAACCCCGGTGAGAGTCCGAGTTCCTCCTCCCTTTGCATGAACCAGGCTGCCCACCGGCCAAGCACCCCAGTCCGCTGTCGCCTTTTCCACAGCTAATTTTGGGGGAGGAGTTGGGAGTTGCCCGACTCATCAGGGGCCCCATGGGGGAGAGATCCCCGGTCCTCACACTCTGAATTCGATCTTTCCCTTCAAGTCAAACCTCACCTTCCCGCTCCGGGTCGCCTTTTCCACCCACAGCGACTGCCCCTCCGCACAGCGCAGGAGGCGCCCGAGAAAGCGCAGGGGGGAAGGTCTTTCTCCCCGGAAGAAGCCCCGAGGCCAAGACGCGCAGGAAGGGCCTGGGATGGGGTCGTTTGAAAACCTCCCGGGTTCCCCAGCCGCACACCTCGCCTCTCTCTGTATGGGAGGACCAGCTCTGCGTGGCGGTGGGCTGGCTGCCCCGCACCTCCAGGCTCTGGGCTCAGCCGGGCCCCAAGCTCCAGGCCCTATATATAGCGCGGGTCTCCACAGCCCTGGGCTGGACCCTGACGGCAGGAAGAACTTGATCTTGCCTGCTTTGCTCCTGCTTCTGAAATTGATCCTTGAAATGAGAGAACAGACTCTACACAATTCCCATGGCCTTGACATAAGGTACAGCGATAAATATACACCACTAATGAGCAATTACCATATAATCACCTTCCAATTAGCTCGCATAATGATGAATTAAACATTCTAGCAGGCGGGATTAGGTTTCTTACTTTGTATATTATTTACGAAGGCTATAGCTTCTGCAAAGAAGCAAATATCAAATTAGATGGGGAATTTTCGCGTGGGGGTCATTATGCATTCAGGCCAGCGGCTGGGGCCTCCTGCAGGTACTGACCAGTGCATTTGGGCGTTTATTTCTCTCCTTCCTCCTCTCTCTCTGGTCGCACTGGCTTCTCCTTTCCCCTTTTACCACCCGCGCCTGCCTGGTGAGCGGCTGGAGGCGGGGCGGGACCTCTGGCAGGGAAGACGCCTGCGGGTATTGAAACCCGCCCGGTGCCTGTCTCCCGGTG